TCCTTATAGTCTCCTACAAAGGTTCATTCCCACTGAAAGAACACAGAACTGCCTCGTTGGGAGACAACCGCTTGAAGACCCTGAAGCATGCCAAAACACCGTTCTCGGACTCCAACGTCGCGGATCAACATGACTGTTGCGACTTGACTATCCTGAGCCGTGCCAAAAGACAATTCCTGGGACTTCAACGCCGTGAATCCGGTCAACGTAACTGCTACACCCTCATAAGCCTGAAGCCTTTCCGCAACACCATTTCTGGATCGTTGACCATGGGAATCCGTGAAACTCTTGTAAGTATTTAAACGGATGCGCACAACGCTCAGGCGAGAACCACATTTTGAAAACGAACCGCCCTCAACATGTGAAACCCCTGCAACATGTGTTAAGACGAATGTGCGCGGCACTGAGGCGAAAACCACATATTGAAAACCACCCGTCCTTAATCCGTGAACTCCTTGACCATGTTTAGAACACGTGTGCGCGGCGCTGAAGCGAGAACCGCAGTTTGAAAACCACCCGCCCTCAATCCGTGAAACGCTTCAACTTTTGAGTCAAGAATATGCGCTGCGCTAAAGCAAAAACCACACTTTCAAAACCTTCCGTCCTCCGTGTGTGAAGCTGTTGCCAATGTTTAAGCTTCAGGGCTATACATGGTGAGGAAGTCTCTGGCGAAACGCCTGGCCCGCCCTTTCGACCAGCCTCGCGGTGCGACGGAGAGGAGTTATGTGCCAGGAAAACACATGGAGGAGGAGGAGGAGGAGGAGGGAAGAACCAGGATTCAGGTGCGTCGGCCGCCGTTGAAGGACGAGATGGTGATGAAGAGGAGGAGGAGGCGGAGGCGGTGGGGGGGAGGAGGGAGCCGGGAGAAAGCAGGATTCAGGCTTGGATGCGGAGCTGGTGCGAGGCAGTCTGCCACCGTGCCCCCTGGCACGTGCGGGCGCAGGTCCGATGCCAAGAACTGTCTCATGGGGCGTCTGTGTTCCTCGGCAGGGCCGCCCCACCCCCCGCCACGCCTCGTCGCAGACACCGGAGGCCGGAGTGCTCGGTAGCGAACGCCGGGTCCGCGCTCCCTAGCTTTCGAGACAGCTCAGGCAAGCGCCCAAGGCCGCCCAGACGGCTCATGATGTATCCAATACGCCCCAGTATTTCCCCAAGGCGGCCCAAGATGGCCTGAATTGAAGGCGGCCCAACCTGCCTCCAGGAGGGCCCAAGAGGGCCACAAGAGGACTTCCAACAGAGTTCGAAGAAAACACTTTCATTCATATTGCATGGTTTTCGAACATATGTTCGCCCTTTTAGGGTTTCCGTCCGCTGAAGACGGCCCAAGAAGCCTCCATGATGACCCAAAGATGACCCATGAAGCCCCCAAGAAAATCCCAGGACGGCCCAAACCATGATGGTCAACGATGCCTCCAAGATGATCCCAAGACGGCCCAACAGGGCCTCTGGCGAGATTCAAGGCGGCCTCATATGGCCCTTCAACGGCTAAAACCAGCGCCAGGGGGACCCCACCGACGGTCCCAAGACACCCGCCGCTATGCGGCCCAAGCGAACCCCGAAACGTCCTGATGAATGGGACCCCAAGACCGCCCAATAGTGCCCCAAGATGGCCTCTTGGGACACCTAAGACTGCCACACGGGAGCCCAATACAGGCCCAAGACAGCCCAACTGATCTCCACGAGAACTCCTCAGGGAATGAAGACGACAAGTGTCACATGCGACAGCCTTCCTCTTCCTCCTCTCGCCACTCGTCATCATCGTCATCATCAGCATCAGCATCAGCATCAGCATCAGCATCACCATCATCATCATCATCAGCATCATCATCATCATCATCGTCATCATCAGCATCGTCATCATCATCATCACCATCATCATCATCATCATCAGCAGCATCAGCATCAGCATCAGCATCAGCATCAGCATCAGCGTCATCATTGTTACCACTATCATAATCACCATCATCATGAACAGAAGCATCAGGTTCACCATCACCATCATCAACAGGATCATCATCATGATCATGACCATCATCACCAACACCAACATCATCCTCATCCTCGTCACACCTCTACAGATCTTGAAGACACGATGCGGCACACGTAACGCCTCCCCGCGCACCCTCGAACAGTCGCTGACAACAAGGCTGGGCTGGCACGGTGCCGAGACTTGCCACAGGTAACTGGGTATATCAAACTAATTACGATTCGGAAAACAGACCCCGCTCGACCCTGCCGAGGTACTCTCCCCGTAACTTCTGAAGTCTGTCAAACTCACACTGCTTCCCCAGGGCCCGAATCTGGGAGCACCCGAAGGAACTAGAAGGCAGCTCCTGGGTGCTCTTCGTGGGGGCGATGAGGCGATGAAGGGCGATGAAGCTTGAGCAAGGGGAACATGGCACGGACTCAACCAGACTAGGTGAGCCCAAGATACAGCCAGACTGAGCGACATTGGGTCAGAGCAGGACGGCTGTCGGACGCGGTTGTACCAGCGGTGGTTACCAGCGCCGATGCCAAGGGCTCCCAGCTTCGCGCTTCGCGCTGCGCGAAGCGCGAAGTGCGAATAACTTCGCGCTCTCGCGCCGCCTCCCAGGGGAGAAGAGTAGGATGAGGAATCGGAGCCGAACCGCGAAGCGCGAAGCGCGAATAACTTCGCGCCCTCGAGGGCGCCCTTGGATGCTGTAGCCCCCCAGGAACTGCAGCCGAAGACGCAGGAGGGAACTGCATCTGAGCTCCCCTCCGGGTCTTGCTCGCCACGCGGGGCGCTGGCCGCCCTGCCGTGTGCGCATCCGACCCGTCGGGCCTCTGGGCCATCGCAGCTGGGACGAAGACGATTGGAGAACGGAGGATTTGGACGCCCAAACTGGGAACGGAAAACACAGGCACAATACCCAGCAGCAACTGTTGCCCCAAAGCACCAGCGGCCGCTGGTGGGCAAGCGGCCCTTTGTCCCGAATGGACACGGGCCGCGGAAACACCAACGGCGAGCCCTGTTCAAAATGACAAGAACTGCTGCCGGTCGTTGAACCCATTTCGGGCGTTGGCAGAGCTGGGTTTGGTGGGACCTGGTTTAGTGATGGGTACACGTCGGTCGGAAGAAGTAGGTAGAAACATGAAGTAGGAAGGCGGGTATAGTAGATTGGGTCCAGGCCCTCCCAGAGAATAACAAAACACAACGAAAGCATGCTGATTCTTGAAGTAGGAAGGCGCTTGAAGTAGATTGGGATCTGGGAATCCAAGAATACCTACTTTCAACGACCGGCGTGGACTGGGTGGGGGACGCCGCCCCGCCCCGTTCCACGAACCGGAACTGCCGCCACCCGAAAAAGCACCAGCCACGGCAGACCTGGTTCAGCGATCCCGGCCACTCTATAGGGCTCCAGGGCCCTACCACCAACCGGGCCCCCTTACCTGGGGCCCTGGCTGTACCCGACCGTTCCTTCCGTGCCCATGTCGAGCGTCCCGAGAGGGCGAGAGGAGGAAGGGAGCAGGAAGAGGACGGGCACGAGATGAGCAGGAAGAGGAGGGGCACGAGATCCCCCTGCGCGGAACGCGCAAGAGGTGCTGGAGGACGGGGAGGAGGAGGAGGGGGAGGAGGAGGAGGAGGAGGAGGAGGAGGAGGAGGAGGAGGAGGAGGAGGAGCAGGTTTAGGAGGAGGAGGCGGAGGAGGAGGAGGAGGAGGAGGAGGAGGAGGAGGAGCAGCAGGAGGCGATGGACGGTCCGGGAGCCGCGGGAGGCGCCGCGGCTCTACGCGTCGCCGCCGGCGCGGGCCCTCTTCGGCGCGGGCCCGCCGGCCCCACCGGCGCCCTCGGCGACCGCCTCCTCCGCGGCGGGCGGCGGCAGCCGGGGGCGCGTCGCGAGGCTCGGGGTGGAGAAGCCGTTGCAGGTGAGGCCGCCGTCCACCGTCCGCACGAGGAAGGGAGGGCGTTCAAGCTCGGGGCCTTCGGATCGCCGCGCGGGTGGCTGGGAGCGGCGCCGGGGCACCCCGCCCTTAAGTCGGGCGTGTTCCCCCCTACAGGAGCATTTTCGACGAAAACTCAAAAGTGTGCAGAATAAAAAGCTCACAAACGGTCAAAACATGCAAAAAATAGTACCCATGCGATTTTTTGATTATTTTTGAAGATTCCTCCTGTAGAGGGACAGGCCCGACTGAACCCCCGCCCTCTCTGGCGCGCAGGAGCGCGCCAGGCGCGGCGCCGTGGGGGGGCCCCGGCGCCGCTCCCAGGAAGCCGCGCGGCGCGCCGAAGGATCCGTGGGTGCCGGCTTTCCTTCGTCGAGGCAGGATCTGGCCAGTCACGTACGAGGCACCGGGCATGCAGAGGAAGGCGACCACCCGCGCCACCTCCTCGACCTCATCGCCATCACATCAGCCTTCACCATGCCCAGCACTATCACGATCACCATCACCACCACCATCACTGTCATCAGTATCATCAGTATCCTCATTATCATTGTTATCATCATCAGCAGTACCATCATCACCATCACCATCACCACCACCACCACAACCATCACCATCACCGTCGTCGTCGTCGCCGTCACCATCACCATCATCATCCTCATCATCATCATCATCATCAGCATCATCATCATCAGCATCATCATCATGACCATCATGACCATGCGCATGAGCGTGACCATGACCATCACAATGATCATCATCTGCATCAGCATCACCATAACCATCATCATCATCATCATCATCATCATCATCGTCGTCGTCATCGCCATCGTTATCGCCATCAGTGTCAGCGTCATTATCAGCGTCATCACCATCATCCTCATCACCACCATCATCAACATAATCATAACCATCACCATCATCATCATTATCATAATCATCATCATCATCATCATCATCATCATCATCATCATCATTATCATCATCCTCGTCATCATCACCATCACCATCACCGTCACCGTCACCGCCACCATCATCATCACCATCACCATCACCATCACCTTCATCATCATTATCATCATCAGCATCATCATCATCTTCATAACTCTTCCTCATCAGCTGCAGCATCACCATCACAATGATCCTCGTCATCGTCATCGTCATCGTCATCGTCATCGTGATGCTCATCGTCATCGCCGTTATCGAAGTCGTTAACATCAGCATCATTATTCTCGCCATCGCCATTGTCATCATCGTCATTAGTGTCGTCATCATCATCATCATCATCATCATCATCATCATCACCATCACCGTCGTCGTCGTCGTCGTCGACCTCCCCAACGCGCCCCATGGGTGTCTGGCGCCTCACGTCCTCGAGCAACTGGCCCTTCAGGATGGGCTCCGTTAGCGGGGTGCGGATGAACCACGGGGCCACGCAGTTCACCCGCACCCTGGCCTCTGCCCACTCCACAGCCAGGTAGCGAGTCATGTGCTCCATCGCGGCCTTGGAGCATCGTTTGACCGATCCTTCTCCGCACCGGCTCGGCCGTGGTCCCATTGGCCGACTTGCCCACCTAGGTCGGGATATATGCCTGTTCCTTCGGGATTTGCGGCGCCCACTTGCGCCTAAAAGGGTGGGCTGGTGGAACTGAGATAGCATTGCCCTGTGTGGATGGGGATCGACGATGCACAGCCTTGTTCATGTGGTAGACCACCCCTGTATTGTCCGAGGTGTGGCCGCAGACCGACGAGATGTTGACCACGCAGCCACGTCCGCCAGCACGCGCGAGGTGCGGGAAGGCGCCCTGGCACAGGTGGAACGCCGACCCCTGGTTCGTTGCGCAGAGCGAGTCGTACTCCTCCTCGCTGAAGTCGGTGGAGGCCTTCCGCAGGTTTGTGCCCACGTTGTTGACTAGGATGTCAAGGCGCCCGTACTTCTCCTGGATGGGAACAACAACTGCATACAGTCGGCCCAGATTAGTAGGTCGACCCTGCCAAATCAAGGGTACCCTTGTGTCCTGTGTCTCGCGACCCGTGCTTCTTACATTCCTGTGGCGATGTGGCCCTCAGAAGGGTCTTGTGTCCTCTCGCGTGTCCTGTCCAATCGATCCCGACTGTAAACATAGACTTTCGACGATCAGCGCGGATTTCCTGGATCTGCGCTGGACCTGCTTCCCTGGCGCGCGGAGCGCTCCAGGATGCAGCGCCAGAGGCGCCCGGGGGGCCCATACGCCGATCCAACACATCCGCGCGCACGTCCGCGACACTATGCCTACGTCCTTTCGGCGGCAACCCATGGGCTAGTCGACGCCTCGTCGACGCTCATCGACGCTAAATCGGCGCATATCGACGCTGAATCAGCGCGACACCATCGACTCCCAAACGCTCGCTGACGCCGCTCGACGCTGAAGCCAGACTTCGGAGAGTATGTACCATGCTCCCATGATTTGCCACCGAACGTCCTGCTTTGCTCCCCGATCTCCAGCACGGCGTCCAGCGCCTTCTGCCGCCCCTGCCGGCAGCTGACGTCTGCCTCCACCTGCAGCAGCGCCCCCGCGCCCTCCGGCAGCTCCTCCGCGAGGGCGGCGAGGGGGCCCGCGTCGCGGGCGCAGGCGGCCACGCGCGCGCCGAGGCGGAGCAGCTCCTCCACTATGCCTCGGAAGCGAGCACCCGAGCACCACCCCCGCCTGGGCTCTGTGAAGCGAGGCCAGGACAGGGGGCAACCTCTGGAGTCCAGAGGCTCCCTGGATGGGGTCCGAATGGCTGGGGTCGATGGGCCCGGCCGCGCCGTCGGCGACGTCATCGGCGTGGAGAAGATCGGGCCTCACATCGCGCCGCATCGTCGATGCATCGGCGATGCGGCGGGAGCCTTCGACCCCATCTACTCGGACCCCGCCTGGGAGGCTTAGAACATCGGACCTGGATGCATCGAAGATCTTGTATATCCGTCAGATCTGGAGGCCGCCTGGGGCGCCGCGGCCCGAAACGCAAACGGCCCGCGAGATCGCCAGACAACCGCTTGGGTCCACCCCTGTGCTGATCGGGCTGCTTCAGCGGACGAATAAAGATACAACATCAAGCTTGGCCGCCGTCGGGGACGCCTGTCCTGGGGCGGCTGGACAATTCACACCCCTACGGTGGCACGCTGGGGTGTGGACTATAGACCCTCCCAGCCGCCTCAAGACAAGGGCCGACGATAGCTGAACAATTATGCTACACCGTCTCTCGCCCGCGACTTGCGAGAACTCCCGCATGGTGTCCGAGCAGATGGGGTCGGAAGATCGCACCAAGTAGCCGATGCATCGGCGACGTCGGCGGTGTATCGGCGCACTCGGCGTGGAGCACATCAGGTTCCACATCGAGCCCGCATCGCCGATGCGTCGGCGATGCGGCGCGATCCTCCGATCCCACCCGCTCGGACACCACCTGGGAGGCCTCAACAGCTCTGAACTCGGCTATACGCAAGAGTGACCCTGGGTAAGAGTGACCTCTGATGCGCGGCTTTTTCGGGGCCGCGAGGGGACCACACCTGGGCGCGCAAGCCGCTGCTACCGCTTCGCTTTCAGCCATCTGGGTACCCACCCGTGCCCGCACCAAGGGTCTCTCCGGCGAACGGCCACTCTTACGTCTAGTCGATCCACTCTCGGGGTGCGCAGCTGCCGATTCCCGGCGTGCCTCTGCCGATGCCCTTGCTGCCGCCAGTCACCAGCGCGACGCGCCCGCCGAGGGACCAGGGTGACGCGCCGTCCTGCATGCCGGCCGCCGCGGGCCGCCGCCGCGGGCCGCCCACCGCCTCGGGCCCCCGCGGGGGCCTCGAGCCCCGACGATGTGAGCAGGGGCCGACCGTCCCGGCATTCCTGTACGCCCACCACGACATGTTCGTAGAGCCCACAACTGATCCAAGAACAAACACAATATTCGTAGAAGATGAACCCGATGCGTTAAACGCAAGACAGTCCCAGCCAGAAAGGTTCGGAGAACATCTCCTGGAAACCGAAGCAAATTCTTAAACCATTGTTTGGTAGGCCATAGTCGCGCCGGGACGCTCCGCCACTGCTTGAGAAATGGCTACAGACAGGGGATGCACCACAAAAACAAAGATTAAACGATTGAGCGATAGGCGGAGGAGGCGGAGGAGGAGGAGGAGGAGGAGGAGGCGGAGTAGGAGTGGCAGTAGAAGGACTAGGGGTGGGAGGATGAGGCGGAGGAGGAGGTGGAGGAGGATGAGGAAGAGTAGGAAGAGGAGGAGGAGGAGCAGGAGGAGGAGGAGGAGGAGCAGGAGGAGGAGGAAGAGGAGGAGGAGGAGGCGAGGAGAAGGAGGAGGAGTTGAGCCCAGATTTCCAGAAGGGACTGGCGGCCCCACTTGTGGTGACCCCCCCCCATTATGTGGGACAAGGTGGGCGTGTCGGAGGGCACACAATGAGCTGGAATCGACGACATATCGCCGATGGACTTGCCGTCGCTGGGATTGTTTTGGTTTCGTGCGTGTCTGTTGTTTGTTTTCGTGCGTCTTGGTTTCGATCGTATCCGTGCCTTGTGGTTTCGTGCGTGCTTGTTTTTCTCAAGATGGTCCCTGGCGCTGACCTCGCCGACACGATGCCAAAGGGATTGGCGACAGGCCCCCGCTTGCGCATCCGCACGGCCCTGGGCGGGGTGGACTATCGCCCCCCCCATCGGCGACGGATGGGCGATGGGGGGGTCCGTGCCTCCCCCTGAGCCTACCCCCTTCCCTGACCGTTGCCCCTGAGCTTGAGGCGAGGCGGGGGGCGGGAGCTTAGTGGGCCCTGGAAACGTCAAGGCCGTTTTTTTTACCGGTTCCGCTTTGCAGCTTTGTTGCCGGTTCCGACGCCGTGTTTTTACCGGTTCCGTCGCCGTTCTTTTCCGGGTTCCCGCTCCGGTTCCAATCCTGTAGCCGTTTTTGTTGCCGTTTCCGGCCGCCGTTTTTTTTGCCGTTTCCATTTTCAAGGGGCATTTTTTCGGAAACGGTGAAAGACCGGCCCTGCCGTCTGCAGGGGCCCACTACGGGCGGGAGCGAGGGGCCCGAGGTGGTAGTCCGAGGTGTCCTCGCGCTTGTCCAGGCGGGCCTGCCCCCCGCCGCCCGCTCCTCCTTGCCCTCCTCTTCCTCCTCCTCCTCCTCCTCCTCCTCGTCCTCTTCCTCTTCCTCCTCTTCCTCCTCCTCCTCCTCCTCCTCCTCCTCCTCCTCCTTCTCTTCCTCCTCCTCCTCCCCCTCCTCCTCCTCCTCCTCCTCCTCCTCCTCCTCCTCCTCCTCCTCCTCCTTCCCCCCCCCGTCGAAACTTCCCCCGCGCCTCGCCCCCGCACCCTCGTGCCCGCCCCTCCTCGCCCTGCTGCCGGGTCGCAGCGGGTCCTAGGCCTTCCACGCTCGTCCTCGGCGTCGTCCTCCTCCTCTACCTCGACCTCACCTCGCCCGCGCCCTCGACCTCGCGCTCGTCCTCGTGCTCCTCCTCCTCCTCCTCCTCCTCCTCCTCCTTGTCCTCCTCCCCCTCCTCCTCTCCCTCCTCTTTCTCCTCCTCCTTGGTTTCCAACGTGGGTTTGTTACCATAGATAGGGTCATGAAACAAACGTTGAAGCACATATTATGCCTATCTGTGCACATGCGGTCTGGCAGCATCAACGCGACGCCAACGGGCGTTGTGGACTCGAGTCTTTGGCCTGGAAGCGCGAAGCGCACGATTGCCCACATCATGAAGTTTTGTAACCGGTCACTGTGTCCTGGGGGGGTGCACGGACAAGCGAAACACTGTTCAGCTAATCGTTTGCTTGCGCCCGCCTCAAACTCATGCCCCATCCCCCGCCGCCCCCCAATATCCCGTCGTTTTGGCCCCACTCTTCTCATGCCCCCCCGATTACACCTGGTCCTCATCATACCCCTCATTCACACTGTCACCCCCCATGTGCCCATTCATGTCGTTCCTCGTCGTCCTCCTCCGCCGGATTCGTTCCCCCATCATCCACATGCCTGCCCTCCTCCCGTCCATTACGCCTTGGTGCACATCATGCCCCCTCCTCTTGCCCCCCCCCCGCCTCCCTCGTCCTCGCGGTGCTGACTCCGATGATGCAGTTCCTCCTGGGCCCGTTTCCTCCCCTCGTCCTTCATCCCTGGCCCCTGGGCCACCCCTCATATCGAACCCCTTCCTTCCCACAGCCCACCATCCCCACCTCCCCGCGCCTTTGCATGCCCAGACCACTGCCCCCTCATGGACCAGCCGGGAGACCCGCGGAAACTCCCGCCCAGTGACCATTCCAGGGAACGGCGCGCAACAGATGCACAATTTGAAACACGAGCTGTGCACTTCGACGGCGTACGGCGCCCCCCCCCATGGACCAGCCGAAAGAAAAACGTGAAAGTTCCCGACCAGTCAACACCACCCACGACTCGCACACGCCAAATACACAGATGGGAACGAGATCTGTGTACACAGGTCACACCACGATCTGTGTAAACAGTGGGCCCACAAACGAACATACACAGTTGAAAACACACACTGTGTACACAGTTCACACCGTGATTTGTGTAGTTCGGAAAAAAGGGGAACGCTCGTCACCTCGAGGGAGCCCCCACTTTGCCAAGGCAGAACAGAAGTCGACATGCCCAGTTAAGGGGGGATGCGAATGCACACTTCCTCGGCCCATGGCGCCCCCGAAGGAGCTGCAAATACACGCTTCCCTGGCTCAAGGCGACCGCGTTGAAACGTGGCACCCAATCGGCCCCCAACGGCCCGAAAACGCCCCGAAAGGCCTACAATGACCCCAAATAATGCCGCACAACAACCCGAAAACACCAAGAGGTGTCACATGCCATGGGCCTCTTAACAGTCAAAGTTCCACACGCGTCCACGCGTCGCCATACAGACCGCTGCTCTGGCAAAAGGGGCGGGCCTTTCCGCAGGCACATCTAATTTACATGTTCGCGATGCGAGTGTGCTCGGCGGCCGTGCCGCCCGCGTTTGGAATGCGTCCCGAACGCTCGCGCTGTCAATCGCCTCTGTGTGGTTGCGCCGCTGTGCTCGGATATCGAAAACGCGATATACCGCTGATGCGGGCACGCGGCACCAGGGACTTCACCTTTTCGAACATGGATGGAAGACGAGGTAGGACGACCGACGGTGGAGCACGGACGCAAAGAGGAACGAGGAATAATGAGGGAGGTGGGAATAGGCGCTCTCCCGCCCGAGCCGCGGACGGTCTCGACACCATCCAGGGGAGGGAAGAAAGGACGGGGAACGGAGCAAGGGCGAGGACGACGACGGGAAGCAAACGGTCCGCGTATAGCCATATGCTTGCGATTCGGGTGCGCGCGCTTTCTTCGAAACGCTTCAAGCCCGACCCATACTGAATTCATTAATTCCTCCAAACTGTGTAAACACTCTGTCCTCTGCCCCCCTCCTATACAAATGCATCAATCCTCCTCCTCCTCCTGACGCTCCTCCCCTGCCCTCATCCCCAGCCGCATCCTCATCCCCCGCGCCTTCATTCTCGTCAACCTGCCGCTCACCCTCCTGACCATCTTCGCGACCGCAGCCTCACGCCAATGGCCCCGAGCGTGCTGCACGTGCGCCCAAACGCTGCGATTGCGATTCGTGCCTTGTGGGGGCAATGGCCCTGTGCGTTGCGCGTTTCGCGCCGCCCAAATGCGCGACCACCTGCGACCCCTCCTCCTCCTACTCCTCTTCCTCCTCCTCCTCCTCCTCCTCCGCCCTCCTCCTCCTCCTCCTTTTCCTTCTCCTCCTCCTCCTCCTCCTCCTCCTTCTTCTCCTCCACCCTCCTCCTCCTCCTCCTCCTCCTCCACCTGGTCTTTCTCATTCATTCAGCAATTCGTTCGCTCATGCATACCATGAGGGCAAAGTCATGGCGCCCATGCGCTGGACATGGAGAAAAAAAACAACGGGATATAGACAGAGACATGCGGCCAACTAATCACGTGCACCTCCTGCGGCGCTGCTTCCTTGGCGACGCACCTGTTTGAATCTAAACGTCGCCTGGAAGGGGAGGGGGGAACAGGGGAAAGAGACGCCTCCGAGGTACTGCAAAATCGAGCTGGCCACAATATGGCCAACGCCCTGAAGTTACGACCTTTTAGCGTGGCTGTACATAGCAGTGCATATATATGGTCCAGGGCTTGGCCCCCCCCCCCAATGCTGATGCCATTGGGCCCCCCCCCCCCCGCGCGATGGTCCCCCCC